TATCGTTTGGTCACCTCTTATTTTCAATACAGTCTGAAGTTTGATAAATTTGACATTAGCTCCAATCGTCGTTTCTGCCGAGAATAGGGACCAGTTAGTTTGAACATGACGATTCTGTCTCGTTATTTATTTTTTTGTTGGTGATTTATTTGTATAATGTGATTTCTAAAGACTTCAGTATGCTTTAATACTGTGGTGTCCATGGTGCCCCTCGCCAACGTCTTCATAGTGCCCACCGGCACCGCGATCTTCTACGGGACCATCATGGGACGCATGTTGGGCAGCGTGACTTTCAATGTGAGTGTCTGCCGGAGCGGAAGGCGCGGTTCCGGGCTCATTCGTCTTGATCTGGGCACGGAAGCCGTTTTTATCAGCAACATAGTTGACCTGCAGTTAGACCAGACGGTAACAGCGATAGGAGCTATTTGGTTGAAGATTTTTGAATTTCTAGTTATCCCTACTCGAAAAGTGAGTTCGTTAACTTTACCAACTTGGCTTTTGTCAGCGCGACTCTAAGGAAGAATGTTCGCGTTACGAACTGTGAAATGAGAAAAAGACTTGAAGGCCTGTCTCAACAAAGCGACAAAGTCCCACAATTATAGATACGTGACGGCCTTCGTGCTCTACGGTACCCAGCGCGCCTATTTAGAAATGATAGACTGATGAGCTCTTATGAAATGGACCAACGATAGGTCAGGCATTGACATCCGAATTCACAGTTTGCACTAACGCAAACGATACATTTGACGCATTTGTTGCCTCTAAATACAAAATAAATTTTCTGTATGAAGCCTGCAGTAAAAATCTAAGCTCAAAAAACGATTCTAACGATCCCTTATAATAATAATAACTTTCCTTGTTTACGTAAGTTTCATGGTATTCATGTACAAGATTCATTATAGAAATGCATGATGCACCTTTCAGATCGGCCCTGCTCACGTACGTATTTGTATATTGTCATTATGTAGCACTCGCTGCGGTTCTAAATCTATACCGGTTCTAGTTTATGCTCGTAACTCCCTAACCTGTCTATAGGTGCCGTGAACGTCGGTAAATCCATAGCTTCCAACAACATTACCATGTCCATCGGCATGCTCTTCCCGGTGTTGTTGCCCCCACTCTTCGTTGACCTTGTAACCAAACTTATACGGTTGCGGGGCATAATGCTACGTGGCGCAGTAAGCAACGAGGTCGATGTTATTGCAACGTTCAAGGTGCTTGTATAGTAGAAGACGTAGTGTTTTGTATATCCAAAAAAAAAAAAAAAAACGGGCGTTGACAGCCAAACTTGGCCCTGTCGAGTGGCAACTTATTTATTTGCTATCTCATATGAAGAAACTTTTCGTATTTTATTTATATTGTCCTTCATTCTAATTGTGTTGACATAATTTTCTTTTGAGTATCAATCGTCGGTAGCCGCTATTAAGATTGTTTAGGAAATTTATTAGCTCTCACTGGCGTTGATATAATGAATAACGCTATTCAAGCTAACACGTATACATGACGTAATATCTGGGTCGATACCTGAACTAGATTTGGCTGCCATTATTGCAGACTTCAATGGTTCAACACAAATGATTCATAATGTGAAGTTCTAAAACACGTTAATGAGTGCTCTTGCTCGCAGCTAGTGTACCTCTTGTTCTGCGTATCCACTATCATCAGCGTAAATCGCGCCATGACCCGCCACCTCGGCTTCTCCATGAGCTCCTTCTAGGAGGCCAGCCGCTGTCATCCCAAGAGAGACTGAAGCCACTACAGCCAACTACAAAGTAAGCCATACATCCACGGAAACAATACGTCGTATTAGTGATTGCTATGAGTTTGCTAATTAACGCCAGAGAATCGGCCTCGATTTGGTCTGTATCGTACGAAAAAGCTGATTGTCGTATCGTATGCCCATAACCGAGCCGAAAATACACTTATTACAGTAATATATATATATATATATATATATACTTCTAAGTTCGTGTACTAGAGTGAAGGTTTTTATACACATGCTACAAGTACATCGCTTTACGATTTTTGCCATACAAGTTCGAAGCATTGGTTGGGCAAATGGTCAAAGAATCCTATAATGCTCCAGTTGTCTGCATGTAAAACGTTGGCCGGTGTTGAGCAGCGCAGTTCAGCACATGTAAATGTGCTTAACAAGGCTACTTAAATTTAGAGAGCAGGTATCTTTAAGTTGCGACTTCCCATTAGAACAAGGGTCCATATCGCACAATTTGTTTTGCTTTTCAATCCAGCTGCCACTTTATGTAACACTGCTAATTCGTTAATTCACGACACGTAACCGAAACCTGTAATCGCACATGTAACGCAATAGAAACGACACGGATCAACTCTTTTATCGACGATCAACAACTTTCGCCGACGCAATAACACCGTTTATCTAACGTGGAGAAGGGCGCGGGTGATCCTGTGCAACGAAATATTAAAGCCGCCTCGACGTCGGGTCAGGAGAGTAGACTAGTAAATAACGAACTTGATCAGCTAGCTATCAACGAGTTATTATTCCTTAGTTTAGTGGAGGGTGGCAGGGCGAAGAGTGATCAATGAAGACAAAGTTGCACCTTTAAGTTAGCCCGATTTAGCTAGTCGACGTCCAGTGACGCCAACTCTCAAAGCAATAGCAATAACAGCACTGGCAATTACTAAACCAATGGCAGTGGGAAGGCATCGTTCAAACGTAATATCCTCCGTAATCCTTGGCGATGAACCATTGATTCGCGCGGTCTGTCAACCAATGCAAGCAGAGACAAATGATGGTAGATTTCCGGAGATAAATAGCGATTCGTTGATTTGTTGATCGTCATTTTGATAATTAGATTGCTCATTTAATAACAGCAGCCGATGCGGTCACAGCATTAGTGGTTCGCGTTGTGGGTTTCCTACGGTCCCTGTCGAACAATGCTAAAATGTCGGCAACGCACAGAGTTGACGATTGCCGGGAATCTAGAAGTGGCGCTATCGGTCAAAAAAAAAAAGAGAGAGAGAGAGAGAGAGAGAGAGGTTCACATCGATAGCAGACGAAAAAAGCTCATAACTGTGAAAATAAGGCCACCGCTTGTTTTAGTATGTGTTCACGCAGATGCACGTTGGCGAAAATGTTTTACTTTCGAGTAGGGAAGGACGACGCACGGAGGATTGCGGGAAAACGCCGAATGAATGTGGTAACCTAAATAGTGAACGTTTCTCGAGCACCTAACCTGTTTGCCGAACGGATGTAATAAAATAATAATGAAAATGAGGTTTAATATAGTAATAGATGTGGCTAACTTTTGATTGGTGAGGTGTTGATGACTAAGGGTGCGCTAAACGTAGTCCGATACCGCACGTAAAACTGACAACTTAGAGTATCGACATTAGCACACTGAACAATGATATAACTACACACTTCGACGATTTACATTGATTTTTTATCGCTCAATGGTAAACGTTACATTATGTGCATTGTTAAAATTAGTTCATGTGGTCATCAAAGTGAATTCGATTGATAGACTGATGGCCAGTATTTAACTAGATACGTACCGTATCACCTGTAGGGCCTGATGCACCATCTAAAAATCGCTGTGTATATTGTGGAGCTTAAAAAAGTGGTCGAGTCTGCGGCTGCTTTGACGCAACTTTGTACGCCGAAATCGATTCGCTCAATCCAATTTGGAGCTTTTGTGCATGATATGACGCTAACTAAGGAGATCGTAAAACGGTCATGCCAGTGATCCCGAAGGAACGTGGCTTCCTTTCGGGATCTATCAACATTAAAGGCGGCCAGCCAAACATTAAAGTACGCAGCGCGTACAATTATAACGGGCATCTCTTAATTATGAGTTAGACAATGCAAAATACAAGCGACAGAAAATCCCAGCCAGCGCAGGCTGCCGGTGTGCGTTTCAGCTTGGCATATCAGGCCGTGGAATATGTGCATATATTCGAAAAAAAGGGTAATATCTTTGAATGCAAACACGCGGGACAGTGTTTTGGAGGACAAGAATGGACCTACGCACCGGAGCAACAAACGTTTCTACTTACCCTTACACATTGCCTGTAGCTTACGTGAACGTGGATAATTTTCGCCGTTCGTGTTTTTAGAAGAATAATAATTTTGAAATTACGCTGACCTCATTTAATGGAAGCTTTGCCTCAATCCAAACAGTTTCCCAGATTTGAATAGTTGAAAACTGTGCTCATTTGCTATAAACATTTGTGATTGACGATTACAGATTATTAGAACTTTAGATATCAGAGCAGTTTAGCATAAAAAAAAATTAAGCCTCTACTCTTTCTTACAAAAGGATTATGTATCTTCAAGTTTGTTGCCCCGCATTTAGAACTGGCACTTGAATGATAATTTTCTTTACTCACATGAATTGTGCTAGAACTATTGGGACTAGCAGCTTGGACTGGCCGTTTTGGACCATTTGAGTTTGAAATTTTTTGCGTACTTCAGTCACGACTAATAGTTTTAACATACAGAGAGCGAGTGGCGTGAAATTAAATCGGAATCTACAGCCGATAAATAACAATACATCTAACCTAGGTAAAATAGAACTGCTAGTTCTACTTCTCTCTCCAAGTACTAACGGTTCTCAATGACACTGATCTGTCTCCTTCATCACCGGCTAGGACTACTCTGTGTTACCTATTTTCCTGAACTCCACAACAGCTAGAATGAACAAAATGTTCCGAGTACAAACCTGAAAGTATATCATCGTCAAGCTGGCGGTTACAATGCGGGTGCGGCGAATCGACTTCGTGTCTGATATAACAGGTAAGATAAATAGAAAGAGGAAAGTGTAACTCCACAACGACACACACGAAGAGAAACTTCACACGTGCACTTTGTTGCAGGATAACAACAATAATAGCCAACGACGCGAAACTGCTCGGGCGCTAAATGTCTAAGGCCACTTTATAGGATGAAGACCAGTCGAAGCACAGCGCCGTCTAGCGACAGGGACGTCAATCGTAGCCAGGGTCACAAGGCGATATGAATGGACAGTGTTAGTATTATATGATAGTGGTGGTCAGTTGCTATGCGCTTAAATAGAATTACGTTGATGTGGCTATTGTGTTCTATTTTTGTGACGTTTATTCCCCGTCTTCTCCCAAACACTTAAAAGTGTATGTGGACTTGATAATTTGGCGGTGTTACTAGCGATTTTAACGGTACATATATCCTATCGCAATTGTCTTAACATTATAACTATAATTTAGCGTTGACTGAGATAACTGTGACAAGTACCGTCGTTTCATGGAGCCGTTATGCGGTCTGTTGTAGATTAGGCACGAAGTTGCCATCTTTTTGTTGTGGTACATACAGATTACAGAATGACGGTAATGGCTTCATTTGCCGAGCTGGATATTAGACGATGAACAATTAATAGCTACGTGCATGCTTCCGACTAAGTAGTTAAGTTGCCGCACTTGTGCTAATGAACGTGCATTGTATATTCATTGTCCTTAGAAGGACTTGCGTCCTTCACGCAAGTTACCGAAACGCGTAGCCGTTGATAAGGCTAATGCTCAATAGTTTTTTGTCGTGATCGTTCGTAGGCCAATAGTGAACGGGCATCTCGATTTCGCGCCGAATAGCTTGAGAACAAATTAGCATTTTTTTCAAGTATACCTTAGGTTTTCCTTAATTATTTGTTTACTTGTTTATTTATTATTAATCGTATTACTTTGGAAGTGTCTCGAGTCAACGCCCTTCGTTTTACAGGTACGTTTTCATCCGCTTGTACACCTTAAGGGATGACCGTCAGCCGCAACGTGGAGCCGCCTTGATGTTACCCAATGTAATGTCCAAGCTTGGGGAGCTAGAAGCGCATATTTGAATGGGCATTTTAAAAGAATAGCTGACTGGGTATTTTCGTTCGTGGCCGACAAGATCGCAGCCAATAAATGATATGGGTCGATTTCAAGCTGGATCTAATCAGGCGGATAGCTATACTAAGATTATCTAACATACGCCATTTGGAGGAAAGGCACGTTAACACCTATATATGTTTCGACTACGACGTGCGGTTTGTTATTACGGTAATAACTGATGGTACTCATGATAAAATCATCTGGCCAAAGTGATGGCTATCTATTTATGTACCGTACAGGATGCAGCAGGATGTAGCGCGAATAGGGCTATTTTGGTTTGCTTCTGGTAACCTCTTCGAAAAAATTTAACTCATAAATTGCACAGGCAAGGTAACTACTACGTTTGAGGCACTTTTCGCCGAAGGGTAGATATGATTAACACATACAAAGGTGTTGGCTGTCACGTACAGCGATCCGTCTCAGCCAGATCAGAATAAATGAAGTCATAATCGCCGTAAAAAATCAACAGACGAAGGTTTCATTTGTATTTTGAAAAATGTTCATTCATTTATTGAAATAGATCTCTCGCTTGTGAGTGGCGTCGATGTTCACAATAGGAGTCTTATATTTTGAGGCTTACCCAATGAACGCGTCGAATATACATGTTGATAATATATGGGATTGATTATTTCGTGTGAGAACTGTTGTGGTAACAAGATGGCTTCTATATTAAACCTGCAGGGTGGGACGTTTCGATACTTGGTCTGCGCTGTGCGGTATCAACAGGCAAGGCGTGTGTTTTTTAAAGTTCTCTAAATTCTGTTCGTAGAAGTTAACATGCTTAGCATGAACTCTCCGGGCTACTCCGGTCTTACGAAATCTAATAACGTTAGTAAACGTGGTTCTGATCTACTACTAGTTGTACTCGGCTCCGATATACGATCATTCTGGCGTTCGAGACGCCGTTGTTCGAAGCTAGGCAACGTCGTCCATTACTCTATTTTCTCATTGTTGCTAGATAATCTTAGAACTGAAACGCCCATTTTTAAATCTATTGTAAATTTCAATGTGTATAAAGCTATTCTGTTTTAAAATTAAATGTTTACATTGTAGGTTCACATTGGATGATTTGTTATTCCGCCCGTTTTTCGTCTACAATCTTTGTTTCAGCAACGTACTATGAAAAATGTATTTATACATACCCAGTTACAGTTGTGTGTTATAATCAAGCCTGTCCTAATCTCCGTTCGAGCTATTCCTCAGGGAAATTCTTAGCTATAGCATAAATTACAGGTGCACATAGATGCCGACTGGTCCATATTAACATAACAAAATAATAATATATTTTAGTTATAGAATTGAGTGTTGGCTGATTCGGATACTACTTCATCACAAGTAGTTTTTTTTTTTTTTTTTTTTGTTAAAGGAAAAAATGTTAAAGAAAATCGTAAATACTATTGTAGAATAACGAAGAGCTTTGTATTGAAGGTCCAACGCTACACAGTAGAGGACTGGCATCGTTCAAGTAGTTCGCCGCTCGGTGAATATTTATGGTTAGATCCGATAACGAGTGTCGTTACGTTAAAACGATTTTTTA